ACCTACGACAGAGATTTCTGTTGTTCACTTCGTCCCAACTGAAATGTCCTGGACCATGATAACGCCAAAGCCTGTTGGCATGCACCACTTTTGGCTTACCTCGCCGACCACATTTTATCCAGAAAGTCACGTCTGAGAGACGATCCACTATGTCATATGGGCCTTCCCATGGAGAAGACAATTTAGGAGACTTCCCTTTGGTCTTCCTGGGTTTATACAACCATACCTTGTCTCCTGGTATAAAGCTGACTTCAGTAGATCTCTTATCATAAGTTAACTTCATCAAATCAGCAGACGTTTTCAAGTTTAAACGCACTTGATGGTGAATATCATCCATCCTTTCCGACAACACTTTCACAAACTCTGACACATTCTCAGGCAACTCTAGATAGGTGGGCATCCTGTTAACAGATCCACTGGCAACCGAAGTTCCCGACCAAACATCAACTTTGCTGGAGTGTATCCAGTAGCTTCATGCTCTGCTGTCCTATAGGCCATCAATAGTGGAGGGAGTAAGACATCCCAGTCATCTTGGCAGCTATGACAAAACTTTGCCAATTCCTGTCCCAGTGTCCAGTTGTACTTTTCTACCATCCCATCAGACTGTGGGTGAAGTGGCGTTGTCCTGGTCTTTTGGATGCCAAACAACTTGCAGCATTCTTGGAACACAGCTGATTCAAAGTTACGGCCTTGATCTGAATGCAGTTCATATGGCATGCCAAATCTGAAGAAGAAATCACTAATAGCCGAAGCTACAGTTGTAGCTTCCTGATTTGGTAGTGCATATGCCTCCGGTCACTTGGTGAAATGTACTTGTTTCCAGCACGAGTTTGGGGCAAAGGACCAGCAATGTCAATGGCTACTCTTTCCATTAGTGCACTAATTTGATATAACTTCATTGGAGCACATCCAGTATGCATGGGTCCCCTTTTAGCACAACATGTACTGCATGTTCTGCACCATTCTTCCACATCTTGTCTCATACCTATCCAGTAAACAAACACAAAATTACAATTCAACAAAGTATCTTAATTTTATGGGATGTATCTTCTTCCGTACTGGTCTCCATCTAGTTGGCTTCTGCTTCATATGGGGCTCATCTGCTTCATCAGGAAATGTTCGATCGTCGATAACAGTCACATCAGTGGTAGTAACTTCATCAAGAGCTTCACCGTTTCCCTTCTCAAAACTGAGTAGAGTTTCTTCTTCAACAGTGACTTTTTCATGTGACACGTCTTCAGCAGCGTCATTTGTTAATTCTGTACATTTAATTAAGTTATTGTTAATTATTATTGGTTTAATGTAAGTGGCTATTGTTCAGGACGAACAATACTAAGGAGGGGCAGTGTTGCGTCAGCGAGGTCACGTGACTGGTATCACGCCACGTCCTTCTCGAACCTTCATGAATTGTCGGGAGACTACTAGATTGGGGGTAGTCTGGTATATATAAGACGGTCACAACGTGACAATGCATGTGTGTAATTGAACTGAGTATTGTTGAAGTCGAGCACGTGAGACGTTCGTTGAGAATTATTGCGTTTGTTAAAGTGCGACTGTTGAAATTAAGTGTATCACAAAGTTATATTCAGAAAGAATAAACCAGTTTTATTTAAGAAAGGACTTTTACGGAAAATTAACTAATGAACGGAGATGTAACAGTGAAGTTCATTCTGGATCTGATAATGGAGAAGTCACAGACAAGTCATCGAAGTCGATGGAGAGTGATTTGGGCATGTGGCCTGACAAAATTACAGAAGACATATGTATATACTGGTTAAAGACAGGGAGCGAAGCCTGTTGGAACATGAATGCCAGTATTGTGACATCTATAAAATATGATGATAAACAGAAACGTTACTTTAGTAAGTCCATGTTTTACTGCTCTTTTAGAAATGGCGAAAAAATCGGGAGAAGTTGACTGTGTTATTCTCCAAGCACAGGTAATGCATTCTATTTTAGCTGCAAACTGTTTCCAAATTCAAGTGAAGACCGTACTTTTTCGAAGCATGGCTTCACTGACTGGAAAAATGCAAGTCAAAGATTGGAAAGTCATGAAAACAGTTAATGTCATCGGGATGCGACCATTACCCTCACTACAAGGTCTCGAGGTATCGACTCGTGGGATGTAATGTAGCCATTAGTTAGACTGGTATCAACTTTTGGATGATGAACAGTAGAACTGGTATCAACTCGTGGGTTATAATCTAACTATTAGTTAGACTGATATCAACTGGTGGATGATGAACAGCAGAACTGGTATCAGCTTGTGGATGATGAATAGAAGAACTGGTATTTACTTATAGGTGATGAACAGCAAAACTGGTATCAACATGTGGGTTATAATCTAACCATTAGTTATACTGGTATCAACTTGTGGATGATGAACAGCAGAACTGGTATCAACTCGTATTAGCTGTTAGTTAGATTGTTCACCAATGTGTGGGATATGATCGGGTTAAGCCATTATGGTTATGCCACTATAGTAGCTTCATGCATTGTTTACCTAATCGACTGTGTCCTTTCTAACAATGCAATACAGGTGGTTAGCTTAATTAATGGTTGAAAATCCATGACAATAAAATTTATCTTAACAAAAACGTTGAAACTGTAACTATAGTGCGGAGTTTTCAGTTATTGTTTTTTACACTAATAAAATGTTCAAGTTCATGTAATATTTTAATTATTATGCTAATTTGAATAGTCAGGTAATTCGTTTTGTAATTTCATTGAAGTACTAGATCACCGTGACCCGTTGGGTCAACCATTATTCAGAGGTTATGAAGAATTCAAGCTAATTTCAATATTGCACCGAAATGAAGGTTTGTTTTGAGATAATTTAATTAAACATTTCAATCCATTCGTGTTATTCGTAATTCAAGAAAATATATTTGAGTGTTAATCGGGAATAAAAGGAAAGACTATTTCATTTTTCAAACAAGTGAAGTAAGAAGTTTCGTAAAAAGCGCGAACGGTAGTGTGAATGATTTTTTGACTGAGAAAATAAGCAAACAAACAATCTCAGAGTTTTAGTAGTATGTAGATAGATTTTTCAATATCTTGTTTTTGTCATCTTATGTCTTATAATGAAGATGGGAACATTGACAGGGAAATAATATAATAGCCAATACTCAGCGAGAGGTTTTCGTTTATAAAATTTTGTTTGTTGTTCTCGACTTGGTTTTATTTTATTACTTCGACCCCATAGTTACTATTTGCAAATAGCCAATAATATTGTAGGTCCATTTTATTGTTGTTCTTTCTACCCGCCGTTATAACACATTTTCATCTCATCATTTAATTTCTGTTGTGCATATATTGCTGTATAGAAGAGGTTATGAAGAATTGAAGCTAATTTCAATATTTAACGAAACTTGTTTTATTCTGTTTCTATTCTCATTTCATTACAAATATGGCACTATTGTGCGACGTTTTTACTGTATTTAATTACAGACAAACAATCTCAGAGTTTCAGTAGTATATAGATAGATAAACCGATATGAGGCGCCATCTAGTGTACCTAAATTCACCTAGAAATTTTCATAAAAGTGACTCTAAAAACGGCGCTAACTCGGTAACCCATGGCCCGATTTCAACGAAAGTTGTTTTATTTTGTTTCTATTCTCATTTCATTACAAATATGGCGCTACTGTGCGCTGTTTATGCTGTATTTAATTACAGACAAGCACACAAACAAACAATCTCAGAGTTTTAGTAGTATGTAGATAGATAATCATGTATAAAGTATTAAAATCCTTTCACCACAGTTGATCATTACAATATGTATAAAGACTGGAACATTGATTCGTTGTCGTTACATCCGTGCCAAAAGGCCTAGGACCTGAAATGACGAACAAGGATGTTGTTACTTTAGACATGAAAATTATCGCGTTAGCTTTTCATCGAACCGTGGTAATCACTACTCTTTTGACCGTCAAAGGCCACAATTAAAATCCGCTAGAGTTAAAAATATCAAAATATGAATAATCTATACTTTTTAACGGAATTATTGGGTTCAGTAATTCTTGTGCTAACGAACAAGACTTTAATGTACAATATCACAAATTGACTCATACGTGTAGCCAATAAAAACTTGTAAAACTTAATTGATTTTATAATTAAGTGCATTGAAATTCAAGAGCCGAAATAACATATTGATTGTTTAGTAAAAGCCCAAGATACATGTTTTCGGTGTTAAGATGCAAACTGCATCGTACATACAAGATTAGGTGGTGGTCACTTAATGGCCCTGAAATGGTTTGATAGTGTTTGATTTTCATTTGATCATATTTTAACACGTTAATTTATACTAGAAATAATGTATATTAACTTCTGATGAAAGCAAGCTATCTACACATACCAAAACTAAAAATATGTCTATTAATGATCATTGCTAACTATAAATAATGTTTAAGCTGTCTTACTTGTAAAGATTAGAATGTATTGTTTCTTCAGTTGGTTACTTTATAATAAACCCCTCAGTGGCACAGCAGTATGTCTGCGGACTTACAACGCTAGAATCCGGGTTTCGATACCCGTGGTGGGCAAAGCATAGATAGCCCATTGTGTAGCTTTGTGCTTAATTTCAAACAAACAAAACGTTATAATAAAGTTTAAAATTTTATTGGATAATCAGGGTGGCTTCGCTATGGGAAAATCTTCCTTTACTAATATTTTGTTGAAAAGGTTACTGCTTATGAGGGTACAAGTGTTGACGTAGCGTATCTGAATTTTAAGAAAGTATTAGACAAAAGCATTTTTTAAAAAGTCATCTCTGCAGGTGTGAAAAATAGGTTGGTCTATTTGATAGAAACTTACGTGAGAGAATGAAGCAGAGGGTTGTTATAAATGAAGTTCAATCAAACTGGATTAATGTTACGAGTGGAGTACCTCAGGGCTCAGTGTTAAACGATTGTTCTTTTTGATTTACACCAATGTCACGGATGAAAGAATGGCCAATAAATTAGGCCATATTTGTAGTACAGTGTTTGGTCTCGGGCTCCTTACCTCAAAAAAAGACATTAATTATTGGAAAGGGTTCAGAGAAGGGCTACTAGGATGATACCTGTAATGAAAAGGTTATAATGTAAGGATAAGTTAAGATATCCAACCTTGTTTTCTCTTAAAATAAACAGAGGTTAGTGGGAATTTTATTGCGATGTTTAAGATTCTTAAGGGAACTGCTAGTGTTGATGTATCATATTTTTTTCGTATTTAATGATGAGAATGGTAAGACTAAGAGATATATAAATTTTAATATGAAAAAAGTCATTTTCAGCTAAGACAGCTATATTTTCTAACAGGGTTAGAAATGGGTTGCCTTTGGATGTGGTGGATGTAGTTAATTTAAGAGAGTTTAAGGGAAAGCTTGATAAATGTTTGAATAAGGGCTGACTTCGAGGTGTTTTTAAGGGTATAGTTTACTTTAGTGGATAGGACACCTAGATGGACGAAAAGGTCCCTTCCTGTCCTTTATCTTAGTTGTTAACAATATTTTTAGTCGTAATATATAATTTACTCACCAGAGTTCAAGGTTGATTTCGGGAAGGTCATTACAATTGATGACTTCATTTCTATAGAATAAAAAACACATTAACTACAAATATATCAACATCACAAGCCAAAATAACCTAATAAAAATACTGCACTAACTATAATTCGATAACACAAATGAATTTTTGAATTATCATTTGTTTTTATTCTGGTTTTTGGTTGATAGTGCTTTCCCAGTTTTAGGACTGCTCTTCAGCCAACCTAACTGAAAATATGTATAATATTTAACAAAGTCGAAATATATTGTTATAAGCTATATTTTATATTTTAACTTTGATGTTTGTTTCCTAGAGGAAGATTGATTTATGTCATGGTGACACAAGTCTTCCTGTAATAAGTAGAAAACAAGTAATGATACAAACATGCTACAATGAGTTAATTAGTTAGTTAATTACTGAGTGTGTGAGTGATTTAGTTCAGTGTCAGTTAGTGACTTAGACAGCAAAGTTGCTATGTCTATTCGTCATTGTGATTAATTTAGTCAGTGAGTTAGTTAGCGTGTTTGTTATCGTTCAGTTAGTCGTGCATTACACATGTGAATGTATAAGTCAGTTAGGCGTATGTTAGTTTTAGAGTTTCTACTGATAATTTTGTTGATGAAGTTAAGCCTATTTTACCCGAAGGAAATCGCTCAGCTTAAAATCAGTGATGTTAGAAGTGGGACTAATGTAGTGAAATAAAATATAACTTTGATTAAACATCAATAGTGACAAAAGTTTATGGATCTAGATAAAAAAATTGCTGGAGATGATGAAACAGTAGAAAGAACAATCAGAAAGAAACAGGGCATTAAAAGAAGATTAAAAAGACAGAAACGGAGCATTAATAGAAGATTATAAAGAATGAGACAAAATTTAAAGAATAATTAAAAACAAAGATAAATCTGATTAAAGAGAATATCAATGGAGCTATTAGAGATGTACAATGGAATTACAACGACATCGCCCATCTGGAAGTTTCGGGATAATCAGATAAAATAGCTGAACAATGTCACCAAATTGATATCCCAATGCACTACAATGGAAAAATACCACAGGTGGCATATAAGGTCCAGAGAGAAATAATATCCAAAGTGAATGAGTAGAATAGTGAAAATAAGTTATTTATATTGTTGTCCACTTAAAAGAGACAGCATTAACAACATTAAGCAACCTTCTAGTTGAGAGCTCTAACAACTACCAAGCATTGGTAATTGCGTTATCTGACATGGTTGAAGTGACAAACCAGAAGAAAGCATCCAAAAAAAGTAGAGAAGAAAGAAGAGACCTCAAACGAACTTGCAAAAGGATCAGGATATAGTGATTGGTAGGTTTAGTGTATGTTGATCGGCTGGTTTTACAGCTAGAATTGTTCAATCCAACTTAGTAATATAAGGTGCAATATTTCCTCCAAGAGATGAATGAAGAAGATGGATTCACTAAGTGAACATAAAGTTTCAATGAGAGAAATGTTGAAAGTTACCTTTACTGTAAGAAGCTTCTCTAAACCTCACGATGTGTGGTTAATTAACATCGACGAAGAATGCATATTGGGAACCGACTTCATCTGGAGACATGAATCCAAGGTTATTTTACCTTGAAATAGCTTCATATTCCATAACCAGAAAATCCCTGTGTACAATATAACAATTACTACACCAGGGGTTGAAATTTCAGTGACTACAAGAAGGTCAGTTATTCTATAATTAAGTGAAATACTCATACTAGGAATTATTGGGAATAAATTTACATCTAGTGGATTGAGTGTAACAGAACTAAACATAGCAGCATTTCCTGAAGGATTAATGAATTAATCAATCAAATTATGCACATCTTGAAATGAAGGACAATGCTCTCTTGGCTTTTGCCTAAATGGTAACAGATGTGTTCTCTAGATATTGGCTTACACATCTTTTAATTGAACTGATAACAAGAGATGCAATACTTTTGGGGCCACGAACACAACAAAGCATACAATGTGAGTCAAGTCTGGATGGGACGTTGCAAGATGTGAAGCTTTTCAGGTAGTATTTCCACATCAAAGAACATCAGAAGTAGTCATCTTTGATGCAAAGTATTCGTGGAATACAAATACTAAGTATATATATATATATATATATATATATATTTTCAAGAAGTACATTTTATTTTCTAAACGTATATAACGTATAGTATAGAGAAAGCAGCAGGTCGAAAATGTTAAACGAAAAACGTGTACACTAGTGAACCATAATACCAAATAAGGAAGATACAGTCTTGTAAGGACCAATAACAAAGTGGATTTTGGTTACAGTCTGATGGAATAGTCTACTTGTTGCTGGAAGATCCCACTTATATCAATCGAGTTAAAATAACTACTTTTGAAAGTGGATCTGCTAAACTTCTTGAACAATCGGAAAAACACTAAAAACTGTGTATATAATTCCGTGTTTCTGACTCCAAACATCGACTTCTCCGTAATTATAAAGTTGCTCTGAGGACTAGACCCGACTTCAGAAGAAGATGGCAGTAATCCAGAATCTACAAGAAGTTCACCGCACAAAATTCTTATAAGCATGTTATTTCTGATCTAGTCAATGTTTCACTTAAGGTTCAATAATGTATAATATATAAAGAGAGAAAAGTGAAATATTCAATGATTTATAGTTAGTGTTGTTTCAAGATAACCTCAAAGTTTCGATATAAATGAGCTGTTCATTAGTATATGAATAAAGAAGTTATTTGATTTGTATTCAGAATGCTGCCAAACTATCAGGTTGCTCTTCAAATTTATAAGGTTGGTTTTTGTGTTTTTTCGCGTAACTCATTGACCATTTTGTCACGAGTGGGGGTGAAGAAACTTAAGTTTTTCTGAACACTCCCGATTGCGTTTAACCCTAATCTTTCAGTTTATGTTTAAACATTTTAAATCAAAATTACTATCATGATTTTGTTTTGTTTTTATATTCAGTTGTCTCTGTGCAGGTTCTTTTTTCCACACGTAAACTTTCTCGAGTTGGTGACATGAGTGCTCCACTCGCGACAGCATGACTCAAAATCCAAATAAATTTCTTTGTAACGAGTGTAAAGTCGAACCCAACGAGTAATCCCACGGGCTGCCCATATGCCCGTTAGAGATGTCAATTCTTCACATAAGAACAGCATATCACCTCACTTACAAGAGCTTTATGAACTGTAGAGGTCCTATAGCTGCTTAGTGCTACAGTTACATAACATGCTCAAGGAATATTAAAATACCTTTGCCAGTAGACCTCATGACTTAGCCTAAAGAAATAAAATATCTCGTATGATTGATACTAGATATGTAGCCTCAGTACCTCACGTTAGCCAGATGACTTCCGCTTGTAAAACAGTCTGAGGCTTTCAAAGAGATAGAAGAAATGTAGGAACAAGGAGTGAGAGACCAACGTAATAGTCCTTGGTTATCATCTATTGAACTTGTGAATAATAATAATTGATTCACAATGGATTGTAGCAATTTTTGTGTTAGAATTTGATTATATAATTTAGTTGGTATATTTTAATGACTAATGAAGTGTGCTCTCTCTAAAATACCCTGCTACTTCATACACATTTATTTAGACAACATAGGCTTATAAAGGCCTAGATGATGCTCAAGATGGGCTAAGGAAAGTTCTGGATTAGGTGAGAAAAGAAAATCTCTGCCATAGTGATTCCAAGCCCAGTTGAGAAAGGAGGCCATCAGGTCTTGCCTTACAACCTGGGTGTAACAACTTGTAGGCTTTGTGCACTGCCATCCTCCAGGCAGTGTGAAGAGTTGGCAAGGAGTACAGCTAAACCAGTGGAAATGGCTAAAGAGGAGAGCTGGGAAACTAAGGATAATAACATGGAGTTTTAGTACAATAACTATGAGAGACAGAGAACTAGCAGACGTACTAGAAAGAAGAAGAGTAATAATTGCATGTGTTCAAGAGACCAAGTGTAAAGGACAGAGTATGAACAAGATAGGTGTGGGCTACAAGCTGTTCTACTCAGGGGAGCCAAAAAGAAGGAATTAAGTTGGAATTGTGTTAGATAAATAATTCAAGATCAAGGTGTTTAATGTAGGGAGAACATCAGACCAACTTATGATTGTGAAGGTAACAACTGAAGAAGGCTTGCTAAGCATAATTTCTGGTTATGTCCTGCAGAGATAATTCTCTGGTGAGGATAAAGATAATTCTGAAGAGACACTACAAGATATGATTATGAGGATACCAGATAATGAGATGTTGATTGTGGGAGCAGACCTGAATGCACAAATAAGAGAAAAAGTAGACGGGTTTGAAGGGGCACATAGGGGAAGAGACAGTGGAATTATAAACATGGAAGGAAAGAAATTGCTAGAACTGGCAGATAGTGTAAATTTGTTCATAACAAACACCAGGTTCCAAAAAGTAGAGGGATACCTCATCACATACAAGAGCAATCAGAAGAATATGCAAATTGACTACATCTTAATTCATAAGAGGGAGAGGGATAACTGTTGGATTTTAAGGTGTTAACAAGAGAAGAAGTGACACACCAATATAGAATGTTGATAATGGAGATGAAGAATAAGAGGCACAAGAAGGCAGGGTTTGAGAAGATTAAGGTGTGGAATATAGAAGGAGCAAAACAAGAGAAACATATATGATGAAATGAAAGATACAGGAGGTCCAAAAGACTGATAAAAATGTAGAGAGTTACTGGCAAATACTAAAGAAAGACCTAATTCAAGAGGCAGAAAACATTTGCAGCTAAACAAAATAATGAGGACCCGAAAAGAAGAAAACATGGTGGTGGAGCCAAAAGTACAGTAAACCAGCAAGGAAAATAAAGACTTCAAATAATGGCAGATAAAGAAGAATGAATATTAAGGAATGGTGTACAAAGATAAAAAAGGTGGCAAAGAGAGCACTAGCATTAGTGAAGAACAAGGCAAATATAAATTAGTATGACAATATGGAGAAGAAGGTATTCAAAATAGACAAACAAAGGGAAATGGCGAAGAGAGACATTGCTGTGATCAAAGTAATTAAGGAAGAAGGGAAGATACTGTG